TTTAAAAGAGAAAGGGGGGGGGGGGGGGGGGGGGGGGGTTATTGGTGACTATGTAGTATGCCTTTATTCTGGCTAAACCAGGGCTATAGCATTTGGTGGTGAAAACAAAACATAGCAGATGAATTATATGGACTCTGTTTATACTAGAGTGGCCTGTGTCTCCTTCTCAATCAGTGTGCTGCAAGCCCTTCTGGTGTAAATGGAGTTAAGCTCAGGAATGTCACTTCTCTACCTCAAAACTCTGTGGGTATAATTGCTCACATTGCTGGAAACATATTTCACAGGTTTTATTTTTTTATTTTATTTTTTTTCCCCCTCTAATTCTACAGGTATAAGCCTTGTGATTATAAATAGTCTAATGTATAAAAAAAAAAGTTTAAAAAAACTGAAAGTTTACATTTTATAACATTATGCAGATTGTATTTAAACTTCAGAATATTTAAAGAAAAAAAACAGTTGTAACTCTTGAGCTTGAAGAAATATTAAAAAAAAAATCTTTTAAAATTTTGTGTGGTTGTATTTCTAGTGTGTGTTTGTACTAATTTTATGGGGTGGAATTTGCAGCTCTTGATGAACATTTCATATCTGGAGAGAAAATGTTGCCAAGCCATTGCCCATTCCAATGTTACTATTACTTATATGTTTTACAAGATTGGGTATATTTTTTCCATTACAAGCACTAGACCATGTGCATAAAAAGTGTTTGGGTTTTTTTTTTGTGGATTTTTAGAAATCGCCTCACATGTGACAGAATGTTACTAGTGTATTTGCACTTTTGCAGTCAAATTTGAGAAAACCCCTCTGTGTGTTGTGTATCTGATCACACAGCATACCAAAAAATAATTTAAAAAAAAAATATGTCTTACATTTTTAGTTGCATCAGGCAACATGGCTGAATCCGGGTTTTTCTCAGCACCTTCACAGTGATCTGTCTTTCTAGAAAGACTCTGGACTGAAATTTGAGGATTGTGTTTCTCTCATCAACTTCATTAACATACAATGGAGAAGCCAGGGTTGTAATCCTTTAACCCCATGACAGCCCCTCCTAACATTAACAAAGGAGAAGCAAGTCGAAATTTTAACCCGTAAGAAGCCAAGAAACCCTCACTCAAGTAAAAGCAATTTAAACTGCATTTTTTTTTTGTGTATGCTATATAAATTGAAATGTAACCAATATAAAACCGGTATATCCCAATTTGGCTGGGAAAGTGGAAATACACTTTAAATGGACACAAACGGTTAGTGGCAGACACTCTTATCCTGTGCTTACTGTTATGAAATTGCTGAAAAGACAGCATTCATTTCAGTACACAGGAAGTGATGAGGGAGCTTCATTTCTGTCAGGATTATTGGGTATTTTCTGTACCTGCTCAAAATGTTGTAAGCCTGAAAAATGAAAACTAAGACAGCTACCACATCTGAGAACTGGTAAGCTGCAATATACTACATTTTATGGTTTTTTTGTGTTTCGATATCCTTTAACTTGGTGTGCACGGTTGGTAGAGACTTCTGTACTAACCTCTAGTGTCTTTCTGTCCCTTTAACACATTTATGAACTTTGACAGCTCCTGTACTACTGCAAAATTTGCTGTGCAGCCACAGCTCCTCCGAAGAATAGAAAGCTGGACAAGAAGTTTTTTTTTAGAGATTCCCATGATCCTACCAACCCAGCATGCTGTAAAAAATGGAATGCGGTAGACCAAGTTTCAGGGATTGCCATCAAACAGCATCAGTAATAGCACACTCTACAGTTAACCCCGCCTGGCATCTTTTGAACTGATATTAAGCAAAAAAAAGTATTAGGTGGCCAGCATTTCATTTTAGAGGCCAATACTGTATGCTCCTTTAACAACGGGCACAATGGGATTTAAAGGAGAATTATGGGGAGAGTGAAATACTCATCCCCATAATT